TACCACTACTTGTGCTATCGACGACTGTTGCCGTTACTTCGACGAGTAGGTTCTCGAATTTTGCTGTGATCGATTGAAGCTCTACCGCTGCAATCGTCTGCTTGTTGGCGCCGTAATATTCTCCTTTCACTCGACGCTATTTCACTCTTTAACGGCCTTCTGTGTTCCTGCATCCCTCTGATCTGGCCGCCTCCGGCTATTTGTATTAATGGCCTCCAGCCATACGATGGAACCGCTGTGGTCGAAGCCTTCTCGTCGGCCCTCCGTACTCGCTAGTTGACTGGCCAAAATGGTAAGTGTCAGGGGCTCAGTTAGAGGGGCGATGAAAAAAACGGAAAAAAAAATCATTGGCTGTGAGCGTTTTAGCAAGGCAGGCGCATAAGCAAAAGCTTCAGATAGCAGCCAGAGGCCGTCAGGGAAAAAGGGCGATAGCGTATGAATGCTGCAGCTACTATTGCTACTGTGAGTAAGCGAAGGACCGAGAAAATCAGTTTTTCGCTGGCTGGAAACCTTCGAAGGCTCCTTGCTTACCCATTCGGTCCATTTAGCTTCAGGCGCAGCTTTCACCAACACAGACGATGAGTTAACGTAGATCTTCATTGCAAACGACACCACCGCAAATAGCTAGATGCAGTAACCGTAACTGTAGTCATTGTAATAGCAGCCAGTGGCAAAACGGAAGTATCGGTGTGCAGAATGAGCTTGAACTGATCCAGAAATGCAATGGCACGTTGGCGATTTGAAGGTGGTCGGTGTCGCACGTAGCGGTTAGCTTATGACTCTATAGATCGTTGACGGCAATGGGTATCATGAAGGCAGCGCATGCAATAAGCAGCTGCATCTAGATTACACGACTGTTTATTAATGTCGCGCATACCAGGCAAAAATCTCATATAACAAAATTTTCTAACAACAAATTATTCTAGTCATATCCAAATATCATAGAATAAGCGTGTCTTTATAATACAATAATAATATTTAATAACTTTATGAAAAAAGACGCAAAGTAACTTTACGCAGACACTAATTGGTCTTTATTTCCGTAGCGTAAGCAAACGGTTCTTGTTTCAATCGATATCGTACTTGCTCGTCTTAGGGGTTTGTTTCGTACTGATTGCCGGCGAAGTACTTATCCCATACTTTTGGCTCGACTCGAATGGCAGCTTAAAATATACGATATTTGTTCAGCGAAGCCATGTTCCACACGCTGTTTAGTCTCTCGGATGTCATTACTCTATTTAGCTCCCAGAGGTGCAACGACACCAATACCTGGGAGATCTCACTCTGGAGCCTGAACACGCTCTAACGACAATGAGCACACAACAGAATATCGCGATATATTCCTCTATCTAAACTTCAAGTACAACTATTAGACGACTGTGAGTCAAACTGGTGTTGGCGGTGTCCCTGTATAATGATGGCTATGAAAAAAAAAAAGATGCACTCTGAGGTCTAACGTGCGTTTTTAGATTTGATTAGATGAGGAATACGCAGGTGGTTACTGAATTATTTTTGTTGCTCTTGTTCGATACATCGTATTCCATCGGAATTTTGAAAAAATCCGCCCACAAATCAAAGCCATATTTTCATTAAATGGCCATTGCCCCCATAGATAATTAAAAGAGAATCAAACTTTCCGGAAAATTAACGAACGCACAAATAAAGTAACAATAATATAGACGTGGTAACTTCAATGGGGCTTGCAACGTTTTCCTTCAACGATATAAATACGTCCTTGCACGCCGAACGTCATTATTTGAACTCGTATTTTCGAGTTTAAGTTAGCCGGCACGGAAACGCCATAGAATAGTAGAACAGAAAAGCTGCACCTCAGCTATTTGACCATCTCGGAACTGACGCTCGATTTAATGGCTGTAGTGCATTGTCATCCTCATGTAAATTCTGATTTTAGTCCATGTTGAACACGCTCATTCTGTGTGTCGGCCCGCCTACTCGTCGCTACTCGAACGCTGTCATTTTAGCGAACGCTTGGCAACGCTCTTCTAGCCTTCTTCGTCGAAATTACCTTTATCTGAATATCCATACGGCTACCGGCTATACATACACATATATCCTTACCTGCATAAAAAGCAAACCTGACCATTTCAGCGATTAAAAACAGACTAAAGAACGGGTCTACCGTTCTTGTTGTCATGTGTAAACTCCAAACACATAAACCCCCCCATCACGTGGTGTCTCTGTCTACCCTTTTCTCGGGTTCGCCTTCTGGCCTACAAAAAAAGCGTGAGACGGCGAGCAACGTAGCCAGGAATGGTGAGAAAAGACTGCATAAGAAAAGACGTTTGAGTGATGATAAATTGTATTGGTCTCCGTGAAACCCATTACGGCGGCGGCAGCATGACTTCAGCTCTTTTAAGCTAAGCCTCCCTTTTTTTCCGTTTGCTCTGGGGCATGTTCCTCCGACTCAGTCCAGCCCACCTTTATGATGCTCGACCGGAAGTCGTGAACGGCCATAGTCGACATTTGGGAGCTTATTGCGGACTAAAAGCTGATCTTTTGGCAAAACCATGACATGCGTTAATGTTATTAGATGAAACCTACGTTCCCTTGGGTTTAGCAAGAACAAGAACTGCAATGTTCAACCAGCGTTCCGCATACTCTAAAATGCTTCAGCACTGGTCGACATTCGGGAATCGTAAAGTCAGATTCAGCTGCTGCGTAGTAAACGGAGCGAATGCCTTCTCGACCTCAGTGCCTACTTCAGTTCAATTTACATGAATTTACTGGCAAAAACTGAATGAGGTTTGAAAGTATGGGTTAAGAAAGATTCCATAAGGTCATAAATATATGGTCAAATCCCGGTGATACCTGGTACACGGTAATCTTCACGCAGATGAATAAGCGTGATCTTCACCGACTACGAGAATCGTCTCTTGATAGTTGCACGTTATGCTATGTTTTTCGTACCAGTAACGCGTCTTCAGAAAGCAAAAGTAAGGGGAAGAAAAAAAAGAGTAGACAGAATTTATGATTGAATTCCCACCTGTCAACTTTAAAAAGGTTACTTACTTATAGCTATCAGAACGAATCAGGTAGTGAAAATGCCGCTACTGCGAAACGAGGACATGTTTTTCGCATATAATATAGAAAGTATGGAGTCTATATAAGCTACATCTAACTATTTGATATGGTTGACTTATGATAGACAGTAATTCTTGTGTTCATCTGTTATCGGGTGTATTGAATTGCATTTCTAACTATGGCCCTAGATACCATTATGCTCTGTTTTTCCATTGCTTCGTGTTTCCCAGTCTCATTACGACCGTGCTTTCTGTAATTCGTACAGTCCCATGTAGGTGTCACCCAGCCAACGCCTGACTCACCCAAAAGCCTCGGCTCCGACTCAGTGGAAGACGCCTGCCCGCTAGGTCACCCGCGTGCGGAACTATTAAGGCAAATTTTTCTTCCGCCTAGCGCAAGATAAACGAAGGGCGAAAAAAAAAACACTGTCCAATGGCCTGGAAAAAGCTCAAGGTGTAGAGTAAACAAGAAAGAGGAAAGTCGAGCTTGATGCTCTTGACTCTAGACATGGGCTAGTACGGCTAGCCAGCCACAGCCGACCCAGAAGCGGTAGCATCCCGAAAGGATGAGACACTACAGTGTTATTGTTTGCTTGGACCTCTACCGTCATGGCGATCGGTCTTATAGTTGTAGCTGTCTCTAAAATCGACGACCCCCTGCTGGTCCAATACAAAAGCTACGCTGCGGGCCATAACAGCGCTGTTCCCGGTTCTTGATGAACGAAAATCGGCCAGGGGGTGTGCTGCAGACCACAAGCAACGGCCGCGTTGCAACCAAAAGCTCTAAAGAGTTCTGGCGGTAATCTCACGTCCGCGGAGAACACAAAGCAAAGGACAGAGGAATATAGGCAGAGCGACTTCTCTCACAGTTTGGTGGGGACATGCAGCTCGAGCTCAGTGGTTACGGCTTCAAGCGATTCTGCCAATGACAACGAGTAAAACAGCACAACTGAATTTCAAGCACCCTTTGGTATTTTTCAGCGTCATAGAAAACGGCGAAGACAGGACAGCAGCCGGTCGTTGTTGCTTTGCCATTCTCCTGTCAGGATTTAAACCCCATAGCAGTGACGTACAGTTTTCCTTGCCTTTGCTGCCTGCCGAGTTGAGCTGGCGACTAAAGGCTACAGTGCCTTTAAATCTCGTCGTTCGTCTCATTCCTTCGTTTATTTTCCATCTCTTTCTTCTTCTTCTTCTTCTTTTTCGCTTTTTGCGGAGCTCCTCGCCTTTCTATCCTATCCGCCGTCTCATGCTCATCAGCATCAGTTTGCCCTTTTGATTCCACGCCTTATGTCTTTTACAAGCTCCCCAAATCCGTCGCCGCCACCACTCGTAGTGCCCTTGGACTTCTTCACGAGAGTGCGAAATAGAGAGGTATAGGAAGAGTGTGTAAAAGAGAAACACTGGAGAATCCCCGCGGCGAATGATACCTTCAGCCAAAACGAGACTTTTTTGTCTTGTTAAGAAGATGATAATATTTAGAATTTTAGCAATGTTACTAGGGAAAACCATAAGCTTTTCAGTATTACAATGTCGTCTATACCAGTAGGTCGATATGTTGAAGTGTGCTCAGATAAACGTTTGGTTGCCAATTATATATATATATATATAGGGGCCAACGTCAACCTAACTGTAATTGATGAGACAATCACGGGGTTATTTATGATACGCTGTCACCGCAAGCAGGCCTGCTTTGTATACGTAAACTAGTTAACTTGATATAGAAACGAAAATCATCTCTTACTACCGGTAAGTTTTAACTTACATAAAATACGACTACAAATACTATTTTTGCCGATTTTACTCTGATATCGTAAAGTGACAACACACATATCGTCTTAACTGTTCAGGGAATAGGATTTGCCCAATCAGGCAGTATTATAATTACGGGAAAGGCTAGTTTATGAGATGGTTCGTAACAATCAATAATGACAATATCATTTCGTAAATGTACCCTTTCAGTGATGGATGGTCTGACCGTATGGATGTCGTCGCCAATCTCGAACGGCATGCCACAGGTTCAATCTCTGTGAGGCTGCATACAAACTACGACACCGAATTTGATCAATATTATTTCGGACTAGACCCATTTACTAACAAGCGCAATCCCTGGTTTCGTGAATTCTGGGAGACCCGTTTCAATTGTTCGTTCAGGAACACCAACTCCAGCGCGTCCAACAAACAGACTGGCAGCAGTAGACGGAAAGGCACTCGGTGGGTCTCGCTAATTAACATCAAATAAATACTATTTCTAAGATAATGTAAATGGCCTCGCACGTAAACACCGCTCGGATTGTTCCCCCCTCCTCCATGTACCATTTCGTGTTCAAGTAACTTTCGTTTCTAACGGCCATAATTATCATCTGGCCCATGATCATAATCGCTATTGCTAATAAGTGCTAACTTTATTAGTTAGAAATTAAATTTGAAATTAGTAAAATTATTGAATAATATTAAATATATCTTAAAAAATAAAATTTACTCATTTCGTATAAGAACCTTATTCGAATAAATGATACGCCCACGTTAAATTCTATATGTTTGTATACGATTGCTATTTGCTTCTAGTATTTGCAACGGCAAGGAGAAGTTGAACGAAGGCGGAAAATATAAACAAGACACAAAATTGGAATTTGTCAAAAAGTCGATTTACACAATGGCTTACGGCCTTCACAACATGCATCGGGACTTCTGTCCGAATAGGACGGGCCTATGCAGTGCGATGCTCCCTATCAACGGCTCCATCTTCCTTCAGTACCTCATGAACGTCAGCTTCGACTGGACCACAGATGGTAGCAAGGTGTTCTTCATGCAGAACGGAGACCCACCTGGCCAGTGAGTAGAACAACATAATAATATAGAATATCATTACAAGTTTATTGCCTTACCTCAGGTACGTTTCGTTACACTCATCGTGTACATACATGCTACATTTCATTGTTTATTTAGGTTTCGTACTCGGCTGTCTATGCAAATGGCTGAGAAAGTAACTGAATTAACTAGCGAGCCGCTAACGCGCGTCCGTTTTCGTGAGTAAAGGCTAAATTGCTCATTACCTCGATGTAGTACGAAACATACGAGCAATTGTTAACTCTAAAGGCTAGTATACGACAGAATTTCGTATACCTATATTCCCGTAACTAATTTTGGCATTACAAAATAATGTAGACAAAAGATCGTACCTCTACTTATTGGCGCGGAGAACTGCACCAGACCAGCTGAATTAATCCGCTTGAAGAGTACTATATTCCAGCGCAAAACGTAATATATATAACATTGAATATTTAAATATCAATTCTTCTTTATTTAGTATATGCGCGATAAATTCATTTAAACGAAAAGTGCATCGGATATCGGCTCTGCGAATAATTCCGAATAACGTTCGGAGGACTGGGCGACCCAACGCTAAACCCAATTGCCAGCTGATGAAAATTCAAACCGTATTAAATATGCTCATTTCAACTGAACCGGAATGAAATATGACTTAATCATGATGCGAAGGCGTCCGATTCATCTTTTGTCAGCCGGCAGGCAGCAAAACTTGTGTAAGAGATACTAGATTTGTATCGAAAACAGCAGATCTTCTCGGTGATTGAGAGTGAAAATGGTACCGATTAGGATTCTTCAGTAAAAAGTTGAAACACAGCTAAAACGTGCAGCTAATAAGTATTCTTAGGATAAACGAATTATATATATATATATATATATATATATATATATGGGTAGAGCAGGCAGGGAGATGGGCAAACAGAGCAAAAATGGCGGGTTTAGCGGGTATGTTTGGAGCATGTCTGGGATAAGTAATTCGGGAGGCGTCGCTGTTACCCCCCAGCTAGCCACTGCGGATTGGGCAACGATAGAGCGGATTTGGAATGTACCAAGGATGTTCGAGATATAGAGTCCGATAAGGCAACGTGGCGGCATATGTACAATAGTAAGTCATCGTAGTATTATTGTTTCCCCTTATCTTTTGATTTCGGCATTCAGTTAACGTCCACAGCTGTCTATCGTGTTCCAAACAATGTTTCATTTTTAAGCTTTTAGCCTTACCCACTGTCTAAGCAATGTATGCAGTCAGGCCGAAACAAAAGGCTAGTTTCAGGCCCTGCTGGCTCACTGACCTTACCGACAACTGACTGAGTGTAGGTAAGCGCATTAATAATAGAAACCTTCATTATTCCCCTTTGATTTTGAATGGGTTGGCTATCTATCGCCGCGATGCTGGTGCGTTTCTAGGTGCTTCTGCTGCTGCGTCCATTCCGCCGAATCGCTCCGACGAAGCGTGTGCATCGTACCGTTGTGCCATGGTGTGTCACCGACTGAGCTGCTTTGAGTTGGACAGATAACTGCTGGTGTCCAAATCAGGAGTACTAGAACAGCACGTTTGCGAAACTCACAGCGACGTGAGCTTCTCCAGTAACTAAGGGCCGCCTTCTAAGCTCCCACTGAGTGATGGAGTCATCGACTTCCACCCTGCATGTTTGACAATACTGTCTGCTTCTTCGTAAGGGGCTGATAGCTATGAGAAGTGAATGTAATGGAACGGGTAAAGTGCAGACTACGAATTTGTAGCCGTTCTGCGTAGAATGTCTATAAGAAGAACCGAAATTGAACGGATCGATGACGGGTGCCTAGGTTCTTGCCCATATTAGTAGCACTTTGCGCTTTGGTCTCTGTGGTCCCATAGGGTTAGTTACGAAGAGAAAGTCGTCAAACTTTTGTTCACAAATAATAGTTTCACCCAAAAATGAGTCTCCTCTAGAGAAGAGAAGCTAAAATCAAATAGCAACGATACAGTGTACGTACGTATGTCCGTATGTACATGTGTGCGACTTGTGTAGATGGGATTCGGTACGGCAGTTTTTATTTTGAAGGCGTGTGTTTCGTTCTTTCTTTTAGAAACGCCTAGTATGAGATGCGCTAAGGGTCAAACAAGTTATCGACATTAACCATAACAGTTTTAATAATTAAAAACAATGAATAACGTAACATTCGGTAGAGATTATTGGTTATGTTAGCGCTAAGAAAGATTTTAAATTAGCCACGACTGGTCTTCAAGTTATATCGTATCTTTTATAAATGCACTCGATCAAGATATTGTCAAGGTGGTTCGAATTTTGTGGCCGTTAAGGTATTGAAATATCGCACTCTATCTAACGAAAATGCCACTGGTTGTTTGTTGTAAGAAACGAATCTGGATCAGTAGCATGTTGTAGAAGTGTACATATGTTACAGGGTGTAACTTTTACTTATAAAGTATGTTTATTTCTTCGAAGATTTCAACATAAGGAAATTATCATCTATTGATTACGTATCGCTATACAGTACTCGCACGTATATATACATACTCTGCCGTGTAAAAAGGTCCTCGACTCAATTGCCACAATGTCATTCGTTGCACGTATAAGCTACACTACTAAAAAGATGACCCTGAAAGCCTGCCCGCTGTGGAGATGTCAGCGTTCCACAGACTCCTGCGCTGCACATTTGCCTAGACAAACAGATAATTATTACGACTACTATATCTAGTACAGAGGGGCAAATATAACCTTTATCCGGCCTGCCGTCCGCAATTACCTGCAACAAAATATGAAAGTTTTTTCGTTGGATCAAATTGGCGATTTTGTCATCTCATACGCGCAGGACATTGTTGCTCTTGAAAATAACCGTGTCCTTCTCACGGCCATGCGCACCTATAGCGAGACAAAGCGAATAGTATCATCAGAGACGCGCCAATCTTGTGCCACCATTAGACTCGTCGTAGAGTCCAAGCGATCTTTCAAATTTATGCTGTACTTCAATTGTAGGACGTAGTGGATGGTAAAATATTGATCGTTAGGTTGTAAAACAGCAACTTACGGAGCGGAAATCTTTTCTGCTTTCCGTCTTTACATAAAAGTGGCTTTCACTCGATAAGGCTGTAACATGTAATGCATGCATTGCGCATGCAGTCAAAGCCCTGATTCTTCAAGTCATTGGTAACGCTACTTGGTGTGGCTCGCGTGCGTTCTGGCTAGTAACAGTCAGTTAACGAGTCCATTGTTTTCATCCGTTAGTGCCGAAAAACTTTAATAGGTATGGTGTATCTACGGCGATTCATACTTACATAGCGATGATTCAGATTTGTCCGACCCAAAAGATCCGATTTATTATTTGCCGGCTGTCAAACAGCACTTGTCAGGCTAGACAATAAAAAAAGGTCTAACGGATTCTGATTGATGCTACCGCCTTTAGCCCGACTTTACGCTTCTATTTTAAATTCATCTTAACTAATCATTTGGAATTATTCCCAGACCCATATCAATACGAGAGGGGCCGACAAGCGAGCATTAATAGTTATCTAGCTCCTGATCTGCGGAGCCTATAAAACTGTCGTGCGGTGCTTGGCCGCTTCTATGAGAGACCTTGCACGAACGTTGAGTTTGGAGCAGGAGGTGATATGAAAAAACCATTCGACAACGAGATAAAACGGGTTAGGAACCGAATGGGTCGTCAAATGAATCGGTCATTTTTGTATCGTTTAACGATATTAAGACGGATGCCCTACAGGATCAAACTAGGGTATCTACACTATCGAAATAAATGACTAAAATCAATCTGTTAAATAAGGAACCAGCTTTCAAGCATGGTAAACCGCTTTAGGTAATGAAATTGTCCTACAACGTTTTCAATGACCTGCGAAGGTAAGAAAACGAAAGATCTGACCGAATTCCGGGCTATTACGCTTTACAGAATTTAGATCGAAGCTACTGTCCCATACAGAAAGCCATTGTATTTAGTTGCGAGATAGGGTAGCGATAGAATTAAGCAAATTCGGAAGTGCAAGTTTTCGCCATTTAGTTTCTACTTTCCTTTTTTGTTCAGTGTCGGCCTCGCGGGTTCCTTTGACTCCTTTTTTACATCCTGGTAAAGATAGGATGGGACGCATAACCCAGTGACGGTATGAGTTGTCAGCCCCAGAACGTAGCCATATATATGATAGCTGCGGTCTCAGTTTGTAACTGTATTTAAAAATAAGCATGTATCTATTAGTATATTTCACCAAACCTTCTCTCTGCCTGACTGGGCTCGACACGGCAGCATATCTCATCCCACCTACGGCTATTTTTGTTTAATATGGAGACTACCGATTAGCTTAGTCCAATACATTAGCCAAGAAAAAAGCAGCATTGGATTGCGTAACGCAATAGTGACTGTAATAGGCACTCGTGCTGTACTACCTCTCGAAATACCGTCTTTAAACGTCGATATTTTCCCAGCTACTCGTATGCGACATAAGCTGGATAATCTAGCCATCGCTTGACTGAGGTGCGGTTTCCTTAGGCAAGCCACTTCGTCTTCATTACTAGCCAGTAAGATTATTTATTTATAGGTGTCTACGGAGTTTAACCTTCAAGAGGTATAGAGCCTTTACACAGTAATGGAATACTTGCAATCACAATTGTTATGCAGAACACCCTTGGCTAGCTCTGTCCCGTCTACACAGTATCTCGTCTGATGGCCAAAGAGACGTAGAGTAACCGAAATTTTCTAGACTACTCATGCCTAGTCCAAAAATCTTCAAGGCATCTTTAGGCTTTTATACCTACGCGCGCTCCAGTAGAGCAAGATTATTCAGACAGTGTTTAAATAAGCGCTGTCTTCCATGTTTTGACCTTCTGTGGTAGCGTATGCGATCTATTATATTGTATGCGCTCCCTAAATAACGAAGTATTATGTTAAGAGTTCAATAGCGTAAACAAAAATTATTGAATGTAACTGAAAAATATTTGTGTTGACGCCTGTTAAATGGGAGCATGGTGCAGTTTTTCCAAGTATGGTGTTTTAATATGAAT